GGGCGGAGGGCGGCTGGAGGCCCTGCTTTTGAAGGCGACCCGTCGGTGTTTGTCCTTCCTTAACCGCTCGAGGTCGATACGGATCCGGCTGCTTGCGCTGTTCCCCCGCACTCGTCGGTTGGGTGCGACACGGGGGGGGAGGCGGACAGTCGTAAGCACGAGGTTGTGGTCAGAGTCCTTGAAGTCGACACGTTTGACGGAGACATTACGCACGAAACGCCAGTCCGTCTGACGCATGAGGATGAAGTCGAGGCGGTACTTCTCCTTCCCCTTGCTGGAGCTCTGGAATGTGTGTTGCACTCCGCATTTTGGTGTCCGGAAGTAGGTGTTGGTCGGGGAGAGTTGGTTGTCTGAAGCCAGTCCAAGGAGTCGTTCCCCGTTATTGTTCATAATGTCGCGTCCTCACGCGCCCATAATCTTGGCATCGCAGCACCCGTCTCGCCTCCTACCAGTGCGTGCGTTGGCGTCCACTTACACCACGAGATGGTCACGGCTATGAACCTCCCGGATCGCTGCGTCAAGAGCAGTCCAGGAAGAGTCCTTGGCGTTAACATCACGGCCCGTGGTGGTGCGGACAGTTTCCGTGGGGGCGTACCCCACCACGAAAGTTACTCCGCAAGTGCGGCCGATTTGTAGACGCATCTTCATCAGCCTCGGGCTAGTGCACTCCACCGTCCTACCTTCCTCGCCCACACTCTCCCACATGGCCTCCTTGATCGCCATCCCCACACCGTGTACGCCCCTCTTGTCCTTGGTACCAGCACGGGCGCGAGTCCAGATGATGACGTACCCGTCATGTGCAATTAGACTTTGCCCCTCTCGTCGGGTCTCCTGAAGTCCTTTCACATCACAGCCGGCCGCGGAACAAATCTGCATGACCGTCATCACGTTGTGACCGATGGGGTTCCTACCGCTGTAGGCGAGCGTGCGTACGTTGAACGTGCCGAACGATAGGTCGCCCTCTCGTGCCTTCTTCTTCGCAGCCGCCATGGCGGCCGGAGTGTTAAGGAGTGTTGCTGTAGGGCGTAGATAGGGTATATCTTGGTCAAGAAAAGATGTGGCTTGTCCGGGAGGCATACCTATATATACATCATCCCGGGAGGTATACCTCTATATATACATCGTCTCGCTCACGCCGGAGAGCCTCGAAAAGATGATGTCCATCATCGTGCGCGTGGCCGGCCTGTTCGGACTGATGGTATCGGAGCCAAAGACGGAGATCATGTGCATGCTACCGAAAGGGCTGGGGGAACGCCCGTTCGCGGTCAGCGCCGCTGGCCAGACGTACAAGCAGACAGATCGGTTTGTGTACCTCGGACGTACTATCGCCGCGGACGGGAAGGCTGACCGGGAGATCACGAGCTGCAGCTGCCGAGCATGGAAGTGCTACCGCCGGAACATTGCTTCGATGTACGACAGGAAACGGGCCAACCGCCAGCTCAAGATCCGACTACTCCAGGCTGAAGTGGTGCAGACCCTCCTATACGGGTGCGCCTCGTGGAGCCTGGCAGCGGAGCACTACACCAAGCTGAATGGGACCCACCGCCAGTTCCTTTCTTTTTTAGAGCTAATGTGAGAAACAACAACAACAACAACAACAACCTCTGAGGGACCATACCACATCAGGACTCAGCTATCTGCGTGCCCCCGAGTCGACAGGAGGATCCCCTCCTCAACCAGACCTTCCTCGCTCTCAATTCAAGCAAGATCTCATTTCTACACAGTCGTGGAGACAAGGCATCAAGCGACTTAGCCCTCTTTCTCTACCCTAAGGACCCAGCTGCTTCCAACAGCTGGAGCTCCTACATATCTGGCGTCGTCGGCAGGACGAGATTCTGCGTTTCAGTGTTGTATGTGCCACGGATGGCGCCCCCACTTAAGAACCTCTAGTTTCGGCCGAGACTGGGGTTCTTATTTTGCTGATCAATCTCTTGTGGGCTACAAATGGCCGCTATATAGGTTTTAGTGTGGGGTTCTTAACCGAGCTCACAAATGATGCTCAAGTTCTTAGCTTCTGATTTTTTGCGATCCTCAATTTCTAAACTGTGACGTTCTGAAGTGCGGGCGCTATCTGTAGACTTTATGTTTTATATGTTTATGTTGTGTGTGTGTGTGTTCAATATCGCCTCTGCTGTGCGCGGGATACGGGCGGTTCGTCGCGTCCCCTTCTCCGCTCTCGACCTTTTCTGTCCTGGAGCAATTAGTTTTGCTTCCTTGCGCTATGTATGTTGGTTGGTAGGTTTTATTGTAGGCCTAGACATGGTCGGCCCTGTTGGTCGTTCAACCTATGTATCTGTGTTGTAGTCATGCCCTCCTTACCAGCAGCGAAATCAACTCGATCACCCTGAGGTGGTGTGCCTGCCATTTCTTCCCATTGCTCCTTTTTACTTGGGTTTTGAGTTAGAGTAGCGGCGGGTATAAACAACCACCTAAGCCACCTCCCGCGCCAAAAGCTCGTTCTTCGACAGTAAAACCAACTACTACGAAGATATTTAGGTATCGAACGATAGCTGACATCACCACCCATCTGCCCCCTCCCAAAAAAAACGTCGTTGGTGACGAGGCACAACTGTTTCCGTTTGCCCAAGTTGAAGTTGAAGTCTTGAGGGTAAAACGGCCCGGGGGATATTAACAACCATTTTGACGATTGGTTGATTGCGGGGGTTTGAAACCGTTTCAAGACCCAAGATTTGGCACACATGCGCCCAACACAATGATCGTGAAGAAAAACAAGTTTTAATTTTTTTTGGTGCCACCAGGGGATGAAAATACGATATCCCCGGGTTATTGACGCAGACGTGGGGGGCGGGATTTGCCTCCGTTTGCCTGTACGGCGTGATAATATGTGCATCGAAAACGAATAAAAATAATAGGTTTGAGGCACAAACGGGTTGCTCCTGTCAATAGCCGACCACGAAAAAAGAAACTGCACCGAAAGGAGTTGTTACGGTCAATAAGTACTTGTTCAAAAATGGGTATATTTTCGGTATTTTGCGTGCCGCTACGGCAAGAATCAGCCCCGTACACCACTAACCCTGGATAGTCTATTCTGGACTGTTCATACACCCCCACGACATAAAATTTGGAGGGAGCATTCAGACATGAGTGAGAAACATTTTATCGCAAACAAAAAAAAGGAGGTCGCCCGGGGACAGAATCACGACATCTCCGGTTTTCGGTCAACGCCCCCCGCCGCCGCCCCCCGCCCCATTGGCATGCTATAACGCCACCGTTGCCTACGCTACTATCAACAAGCAACGTGCAACAGGGTACGTATCGACTCATGGTAAAACTGAAGACTTCTGTAGTTTGTTTTGTCCTACTCTGAGTGTGGTAGAAAACAAATCAAGGCGAGCCTCATAGGCGGCTACACGCTGACAATGGGTATCGGCGTCCGCTGCCGTCCAACCCGGGACAAGGAGGGTGCCGGCTGGCGAACGGGCAAAGCCGCCCCTTGTGCTGCAGCCGCTCCTTGACCACGGCCAGGTGAGGCCCCTCTTCCAGCTAACCTTTGCCAGGAATTCTTCCGAGTTGATGTTGCCTCCGTCGGGAAGGCCCAAAGAGCCCCGCAAGGTCGCCAGTTTCTTGGCGCGCTTCCTCCGAGTCAGGAGACCGCCGAGCATCACCGTGCCTACCTTGAGTCCGGTAATGGTATGTCCTCCCGCCTTCAACTGCCTCAGGCCCCTCTCTCCGATGGCCTCTTCCAGCTGCTCGTGGGTCATGGCGATGGGGACATCCTCTAGGGGTGGGCGCCCGGTCGGCCCCTCTTTCCTCTTCGCCGTGCCCTGAAGCCGGGTCAGCGCTCGATCCATGTCCACAGGCCACAGCCCCGCCCCGCCGAAGGATGCTTTGTTCCGCTCCGGTGTCAAGCTATTTTGCCAAGCCGCCGCGATCACGCCGGGCACGTCACGCTTCAGCGGTAACAACCCGCCGTTTGCGTGGTAGTAGTCTTGCAGCACTTTAGTCACCTCCTTCTTGAAGGTTCCGAAAGCGACGACGTCCAACGGCTGGGTGATGTGCGACGTGTGGGAGGGCAGCTTGAAGAGGATGATGTTGAGATCCATGGCCAATTTGATGAACTCGTAGCTCACGTGTGAGGCATGCCCATCGAGCACGAGGATGTGCGGCTTTCCGTCGAGCACGCCTCGGTCGTCAAGCTGCTTGTGAAAGTCCTTGAGGTACATGATGAACACGTCGCCCTGCATGAACGATGAGTCCGTGCACGTGTACCTCGCATCCTTCGGGCCGTTCCTCTCGGCGAACCAGTCAGGCTGGAGTCGTTGTCCTTTGAAGATAATGGTTGGCGCCCACGTGGCACCATTGGCGCTGATGGTGGTGACCACGGTGGTGTTCTCTCGCGAGTTGGACCGCATCGACTCAACCACCTTCTGCCCTGCCTCCGCGAAGGCCTTCATCGTCTTCGTGGCTTGCGGTGTGGTACCTAATTTCACCCGCGAGAGAGGGAGCCAAATCGCGTAGGTGGAGGTCAAGGGGGGTGACCAGCTACGGCAGATATTAAATGCAAAGGTGTACACACACACAAACACAATGCAATGGACAGTCTACCGCGCTCCTGGCAGGATAGACCGCGCTTCACCAAAGGGGCGGGGCGGTCAGTAGGCAGGGAGGTCATGAAAAAAAGAAACACAGCACAGAGGCCGAANGGCTTGCGGTGTGGTACCTAATTTCACCCGCGAGAGAGGGAGCCAAATCGCGTAGGTGGAGGTCAAGGGGGGTGACCAGCTACGGCAGATATTAAATGCAAAGGTGTACACACACACAAACACAATGCAATGGACAGTCTACCGCGCTCCTGGCAGGATAGACCGCGCTTCACCAAAGGGGCGGGGCGGTCAGTAGGCAGGGAGGTCATGAAAAAAAGAAACACAGCACAGAGGCCGAAGGCAATACAAGGGACATACATAAAGAAAGGAGTATGGCATACAGCAGGGAGGGAAACAGGGCGCAACAACATCAGCCGGGTACGTAGTTCGGCACAAGTGTACAGCGTTGATCAATATTGCGGTAGCTGACCGGCCGCTGGCTCAAGATAGACTCTCCCCCATGGGGGAGACGAAGGTTCATCTTCCTCTGCTTCTGCACACCTCCCCCAGCACAACGTATTGTTGTTGTTGTTGTGTTCACATTAAAAACCGTTCCGATCTCTCTCTACCCAGTACCTTCGTGTTGTTGTTGTTGTTGCTGTTGTCTTCACATTAAAAACCGTTCCGATCTCTCTCTACCCAGTACCTTCGTGTTGTTGTTGTTGTTGCTGTTGTCTTCACATTAAAAACCGTTCCGATCTCTCTCTACCCAGTACCTTCGTGTTGTTGTTGTTGTTGCTGTTGTCTTCACATTAAAAACCGTTCCGATCGCTCTCTACCCAGTACCTTCGTATGTCCGTACTGATCCAACACTCGACGCGGTCGATTCCCGTGGTCGCAGGCTAACTTACCCTAAAAAGGTACACTAATAAAATGGCCCCGAGGGGTCCGCAAGTCAATAGAATCAACGACAGATATTCTGGAGTCCTCCGCTCCCTCTGCGCGCTATGCGATGTAACAACTGAGACTAGGAGTCACCATCACGGGCCGGAGAGAATGACACCCCCTTGGTTCAATCTTGGTACTTCACAACGCAAGCAGAGACAAGGCCATCTGGCCCAGAAAAAGAGAGAAAAAAAAGAAAACAGAGAGAAGGAGAAGAAAATAAAAGAAAACAGTAAGGAACGAGAAAGTGAAATAAAAAGAGCGAGGACAAAAAGGGGACCAGGCCGAAAATAACAAGAAACAAGAGACAGAAAAAGGCACACGGTGGAGAGACCACTAACGACAAGCAAACACGC